AATTAGCAATCCAATGTACACCAACCTTATCAGTTGTATGTACCCACTATGCAGCTATGTAAATATTCTGCTTGGTTCAACTCTTTGGATCAATTGCTTGGTAACGACTACGTATCTACACCAAATCGTCGCATTCATTGCAATGAAGAAGTTGACTATCCATAGAACTTCGTTTTCCTTCATATTTAAATCTTCTAAAATTCCTCTCAACGAAATAAATGTTTCCCTGACAATTGCGGAGCCGTAGAGTTTCTTTTTTTTCGATGGTTACAACACTTACAAATCTATATTTACAAATGAATCCAAGGATGGTGACCCTGTTGCCAGTGCCACTGTCGTTGGATTCATGACTTCTTCCAGAACGCCTGATAACTGTTCCATTTTGGTTACATGTGATAATCTCGTTGTCAGCCTGGTTGTTATTTGTCAACTTCTGTGGAACGTTGACGTTTTTGTTACCTTTTCTCTTTCACGACATTTTACACAGGAAACATGGGTGGTTTCAAAAGCATGACACATTACAGGTAAGACACGTCTTTATTGTTCATTTAAATGTCACTTAAAATGTATATATACTCAAGCCAGTAATGGTTGTCACCCCCTTCAATTTTTAATTGGAGAGGGTGTGGGAGTGGGGTTTGTGGGGTTGGGGTGGGAGGGGATGACAACCATTATTGGCATGAGTATATTTGGAATGTTAAACATCTTTGAAGTAACACACTTTCAAATGATTGATTTAACAATCAAACATACATTGTGTATTTTTCCACTAATGACACTCAAATAAGACCTCGCTGTCCCTGTGACTCTAAGTAATCAAAATAATTATATTTGTCTTCCCTTTTGACCTCGTATAAAAGTTTATTGAGTCGGAAACCTTCAATATATTGACCAAACAATTTCGTAACAATCATGCTTAATCCAGCTTGATCATATCTATGACATTTGGTATACTTACGGATATTTAGATCGCAATATGACTCAGAATGATTAGGGCAGATGCAACTCCGAGTTACTGCACATATGGCCCATGGTGTGACAATTGCATCCCTGACAAACTGTTCATTGTGGAGGAAAACAAAAGAACCACCTGTCATTTTGAAGGGGGAATAAGCACAAGCTGTGGAATTGAAGTATTGCATCATTTGCTTGTCAATGTGTTGAGGCATTGACACTTTTCCAGGTCTTAGGACCATTCCTTGAGTCTTAACATCCTGGAGTGTTTCCATCAATCCCTTCATTGTAAGTCTCGAAGAAGCGTCCAACCAAACCAGCATGTCAGCAGACCTAATATTAGCCTGAAAGTTAAAGATGTATATTTGACGCTGCTTTTTGGAATAATTAGTCGAAAATCATGTGTGCATTGGTCGAGCAATGATGTTGATATTGATGGCAAATTTACAATTGGTTCCCATCTGAGCAATACATGTTTTGTGTTATTCCAGCTGTATGGTGGCGGTCTGTAAATCATCGCGCCTGGACCAGATAGTCCAGTGATCCACAGCATGAGCATCGATCTATGCAATTGGGATGTGATGACATGTGTCAACCAAGTCAGGATCCTGACCACCCGATCCCATTTGTCGACGCTTATGACGCGCACGGGTTGCAGAAGACCAATTCCAACCTGTATCATCACGGGTCTCTGAGCGATAGACGCAACATAAATAGAAAACAGTTCAATAGAGACACCTGGTCTATACCTCTATCACAACCTATGAAAGCATGATTGCAATTGTCTCCTAAATTTTCAAAAATCGTTGTCATGTGTATATATACAATCTCTCATGCAAAGTTCGTCCTAAAGTTCAGACAGACTTACATGAGAGAATGGAAACGAGGTCTTTGAGCAGACTATAATCGAGGTTTGTGATCTCTCAGATAGCTTGTCAGATATTGCTTTTGCAGCTTATGATAACTTTAATAAATTCTTGGGCATATCAAAATAAGAGGAATATATCAATGATATTGCTTCAGAGGCCTTCTCTGACACAACAGATTTCCCTTAGCTCTAAATCTTTAATAATTTCGAAAGATGGCTGTGCATGGATTCGAATAACTGACAATGTGTGTGTAAATAGTTGTACCTCTTTGTAAGCCTTGGGATATGACTGAAATCATATTGTCCCCATACATATGATATCATTAAACGTTTAACACTACCTGTACTATCAGCGGTTTCCAAGCATAACATTTCAGATTCTTCATCCAGTCTTCTAGTTTTGTAACAGGGAACACCCTCACCTCACATCTGCAGTGCTTCTGCACCTGTAAACAATGACCATTTTCAAAATATTTGTAAGTAACATCTCCATCACTTTATTAGTTCCAGTGTGCTCCCCCAGTCTAAATTGCGTCAAGAAATCAATGCCTGGGGCACAATGTAGAATAGCACGTGGTTCTGTTATTGAAGATAAGCTTTTACTCTCAATTTTCTCTGTCCAGTAATATATAGTAATGCTATAGTAATGATCTGATGAGTGAGTGAGTGCGTGAGTTCAAATTTAACGTCACCTCGGCAATATTTCAGCCATATAGTGACGAGAAAAGGTTTACATACACAATAAATACAAGCAGTTAAATAGCCATAAGATTGTAAACTATCTAGAGTATCACAGCTGGTGTCTAAAACAAGGTGGTAAATGTAAAAATATTATATTTATGAAGGCAAAATAATATAAAAATGGACTATAGATCGCCAGCAACCGAAGGTAGATCACCATACTAGGGACCATGGGGATTTACAGTGCCTTTGCTACCTGCATGGGCCCTAGCTGTATTTACACCATCCCCTCATGCAGCCACTGGCGATTTTAGGAAAAGTTAGCCGAAATTTAAAATAACAAAAATGCTAGAAATATGGTATGTTTAAATTTTACTTTAAACGTTTTTGGTCATACTTACCCTCTCGGGGGGACAATAATTTTACGATTGATCTGATGAACATATCAAAGCAATAGAACATAGATATCTTTTTGTGTATTTGTAAACACGAATCTGCCATAAATGACACGTCGTCAGCAATCAACAAAACAAATATATATATAAAGGGGGCGACAAATAGACACCCCTGCCACCAGTTTCTTGCATGACTTAATTATAAAAAGTATAAAAAATTGAGGGCTTAAGATACATCCCTGTCTCGTACCAATGTTACATCTCAAATAATTTGATTTAACAATCAAGCACAAGATTTATACAAGCACTAAAATTTGAATACATTGAAACTATTTTGTTAAGTATTGTTCCACTAATTCCTACTTCATTGAAGCTTTTTAACAAAGCATAATGTTTAATTGAACCAAAAGCCTTGGAAAACCTATACATAAACGAATTTTTTTTCCATTATTCCTATGGGCACAGAGAACAGAAAATACTATCCATAGTGGAGCGATTAGCTCTGTAGCCAAACCGTGCTTCATTAAAAGCATCACGTTCACCACACCAACTCTGCAGTCTGGAGTTTTGAATAGAACAAAAAACGTTACAAATAGTATCTATCAACGAGATTCCACGATAATTAAGGAATTCACCATAATCAAATATGTTATTAAACAATATGACCAACACATGTAAAATATAATCCTTTGATGCTTTCACAAATTCAGCAAAAAACGCCATCAAGACCAAGGGATTTATTTAATTCCAACTTATCAATATGAAACAAAACTTCATCATAGTGATAAGGTCATTTCAATTGCGTGTTCTACCGCAGTATTACATATGTCATATTCAAAACCCTCACTAGATATATTATCTACTCA